ATGCATCCGAGTCACAACCGTTACCGACTCAGAAGGACAAGAAAACTCGAGTTCGGTTTCGTACGGGCCGACAGGGGGAGGTCCACACCGCTTTGTAGCTCGGATTCATCCGAACTACAACGGCGGACTTTACAATCCACTTGTCGACTTCGGATGACAACGTATTCGTCTTCGTCTACCGTATCAGCGTTCTAGGGCCTTCTTGCGAGGTGTTGCTTTTCCCGATGCAGGTGCCTATGCGACATCGGTTTTTCGACTGCGCCTGCTTCGGATGAATCCGATCTATCCCACGGTCTTTATTTTCGACCATTCATTCTCTTAAGGGCAGTGTGACGAGGATGGCTCACGATGCCTCGGATTCATCCGAAACGTCCAGGCTTGTGGACCACTGTCGTCTAACTATGACCGAACTTCGTTCTTTTGGAGTCCGGGTGACCAATGACAGAATACGTGCTGTGGGTCGTGGTTGATGTTGGGATGTGCTGACTGTTCTGAGTGCATGTGGGTTCATTTCCTCCGTGTGTTTCAGGGAATGGCTACACACGGACGAAGCCGCTCCGCTGATGGTTCCGCCCCGCACGGATAGGAGCGCCAAGGGACGACGTCGTCGCTGGCAAGGGAAACGAGTCGGGGAGTTGGAGGTGGGGAGGAAGAACGACGTGCTCAAAACTTGTGGTGCGACTATAGCAAACGTGTCTGGTATTTGGACTGGGTGAGCCAGGACGGCTCCCACCCGTTGCAACCACCGTGCGGGCCGCTCTTGTTCGTCGCCGTTCGTGCCGACAGAACGCGTCTCGCAGGGTCCATTGTCCAGTGGGTCGACGATGGCGAATTCAATTTCAAGTTTACGTTGAAGAAGCATTACAGAAGTGATGGTTCTGTCGACGACATCGCAAAGGGATGCAAGGTTGCCGGGAGGATGTTCGGCGGGTACGGCCGTCGTGCGATGTCTTTGCCTCACTTTCTCCCGCTAGCGCTGGGGCACGGCACAGACTTCCTCGAGGTCTGGGCGAAATCTGGTACCTCTGTCAGTGTCGTGGACGTCGGACTTGGAACATCGATCAGTGGTCCTGTTGGGTTCGCGGGAGGAGAGTGCTCTGAAAGGGAGATGGGAGGTCAGGGCGGCCTGCCAGCTACGCCTCCTGATCAAGAGGTGGGCATGTCAGACGACTCGGAGGACGACCATCCGCGTGCTCCTTTGAAACCGGGCTTGCATATATCTAGCCGCCACGGCTTGCTTGGGGAGTCGACGCCACATGGAGGCGGCGATGGCGAACGGTTGCGACAGGGCTCAGAATCGACGACTCCTCGTGGTCTGGTCGAAAGAATCGGTTCGTTCGTTCGTGGCATGCAGGTGGTCGAGGTTTCGCCTGGAGATCAAGCGGGTGGTCCGCAGGTTCGGGAGGTGCATGGGTCAGATGAGACGACTCGCCGGGCCCGACCAGCGCCGGGGGAACTACAGACGGAGTTGAGCCAGGAACGAGAAGCAAGTGGGAACGTCGCCGGTGAGGAGGAGGTGTCCGAGCAGGGGCTGTTCGGTGAGAGATCGGCTGAAAAGACTCAGTCGGGAGGCAAGCGCAACTTGCCAGATGAGGAAGAGCGAGAGGGACTAGGTGCTCTGAAAAGGCAGAGAAAGGTAGGAGGGAGTGCTCGGATGCCAACAACACGAGAGGGTGGTTCCGTTGAGAAGAGGAAAAGGGTTGGAGGTGGGGATGAAATGCCAAAAGACTTGTCGACACAGCGAAGAACCGGTGAGTCTTCCGGGAAAAGGGCGAAATCATCGAAGGGGAAGAAAGCAGACGAGGGCAACAGCGGGGAGGGGGATGATGACGTGGAGATTAACCTCAACGCCTTTAACCTCGACAATGCGTTCTTCCTCGAGATGCAAACAGGGGTGCAGAAGGACGTCGTGTTGCACATCCATCCAAAAAGAATTTTAGCTATTCCAGACTGGGAAGATGCGTACAACCACCGATCCTTGGACGAGTTCCTCGTTGATACCATCGCGTCGGCTATGATCGACTGCTACGAACGTAAAGACATGAGATACATGAAGCCCATTTTTGTTCTCGCTCCGATCGTCGCGCCTCCAGAGAACGGCGAGCCTGCTGTGCGCGTGCTGCCTGCTGACTTCGACAACTCATACCCGGAGAAATACTGGTATTATCCTGTGTGTGGACAGCATAACGCGAGGGCGGCGATGATGGTGAAAGACCATCCCGTGTTTGATTACTACAACTTCTGTAAATGGCCGTTTAGACCGATCTACCTCCCTGACGACGAGTTCAACGGCTACGCCCATGTCAGCTGCGAAGACAACATGAAAGGCAAGAAGAATCCACCGCGCTTGCAGGTTTTGTCTATGCGGGACATTCGCAATATCTGGTAAATAAAGGGCAAACCGCGTGTGGTGCTCGGCAATGCCTCAAAGAATTAGGACGAGGTGCGAAAGTGGGTGCGGTTCATGGCGTTGGCAATGAAGAAGACACCGTACACGCCTATCTGGAACCTGTCAACAGAAGCAAAGAAAAGAAAGGAATGGGCTGAGAAACTTCGATACTACCTCCCGCTGGCCATGGCAGATGACTCCGTCTTCGCTTTGGGGTTGAAGTTCTATGAGGAGTGGTCGAAAGGGAAACTCCTTGCTTCCGACGGCCGATGTTGGACTGAAAAGCCGCCCACCCATGAGGAGGTGGCCAAGCGAGGACTCTCCACTGTGATTGACAGCCAGGGGCTGAAGAAACACGTCTGGTACGTGAAGGTGGACGACCCGTCGTTGAAAAAGGGGAAGGGGAAGCCAAAGAAAGGCGCGGAGGAGAAAACTTTCTACGTCCAAGTTTCAGAGCCGGATGTCCACTACTGAAAGGAATTGGTGGACTTGACGGACCGCGAGAAGAAAAGGCTGTTGAACGGCGTCTTGAACCTTAACGTCGTGTGGGTTCAAACGAGTAGCAAAAAGTTGGCCGAGCAGGGGAAGTTCAGTGTCAAGGAGATGGTCGACATAATAAAAATGGACCGGATTATGCTGAGGCTGTGGCACTACGTGGCGTTCGAGTATGAGGAAATGGATAAGCGGGATTGGAATGCCAACTCCACGTTCTTCAGGTCCAAGAAGGAACTGTTGACCGTGCACAATGGGACTCTGGGGCATTCGCGTCTCTGAGTGAGTTGCTGGGCTTCGTTTGTCAGGACTACTGGACATTGGTGGTATTCGTCCCCTGCCTGTGGAACCTCTCCTTCATGACATGTTTGTCT